ACGTGAATGAACTTCTCATCCTAAGCTCGGAGCGCATTGAGCAAAGTGAAGTGCCAACTGGCATGACTTGGTATCCACCCCTCACTGCAGAGCAGTTTCTACTTGTTTCCTCAGACCAATACAAGATTAAGCTTTTCAACAGCACCACCAAGATGTGCAGGTCCGTGAGATATATAGAAATCAGATGTATTTGTATTTCTCAAACTGTCTTTACAAATACTTTATATTGTATTGTATGTTATATACATTACAACATTTTTCACTAAAACAGAAAGACTCTCCTTGGCCCAACGTATGGCTCGCCCATTAAGAAAACCATGGTCCTTCCTCTGTCTAAAGACCCTGACACAAACTCATTTTACATGGCATACATCACAGAGGACAAGGTCAGTGCTGGAATCTGTTTCTAGTATTTTCTAGTAAGTTAATGCTTATTTTATTTTGTTTGTGATCAAAATTAAGGTTTGTGCGTCAGATGTGTAAAGTATTTATCTTAAATGTTTGCGTTTTATAAACAATTACAAGCCTTTTAAGAAAAGTTGTTGCTCTTGTTAGTGTTATTACAAATAATGTAATTATATTTGTACAGGTTGTGGGAAGTCACAAGAACAAACACTTCTTTTTTTACATGATCACCTTGCCAGCAGCTCAGTGTGCAAGGCTTTTCTCTTTTAATTTCTCATTCATTATTTTCTCTGTTGCTTCTTGTCACAGTATTTGGTTTAGTGTGAGATAGGCCAGTTGGATATAAGAAGGGATGTAGATAAAAGTGGGTTTTTTCATGTAAGAAAATACTGTTACTCACAATAAAGATAATGCCACTAAAACTGTGTAATGTTCCCAGGTTGGTCTCCAGATTTTGCCTCTGGACGGGAACCCCTACAAGTCCAATGCTGTGGTATGCCACCCGACGGGGGTGTCCACTTTAGCCTGCTCCTACGATGGCCAGTTTGTTTTCACTGCAGGAGGATCTGACGGCACTGTCCTGTCCTGGGAGATAAGCTTCAAGTAAAGTCAAATAGTGCCAACCAGATAATAGAAGGAAATGCATTGTTGCAGTGTGGCCAAGTTTTCTGTTCTTAACTGTCTCTTATTTTGTCTGCAGTGCATTGGAGGGGGCAGCTGCCTTGGGAGGAAAGAACATGTTGCCCTTTTATGCTCTTTTAGAGGGAGGCAGAGACGGAAAGTTCTACAGGGTCCGTTGAAAGAGTTCCTTGTTACCTAAAATTGTGTTCACTGATCAACAGCCACATATTTCTCTTTCATTTACTTAAAAGAAGAAGCATGTGCTCTGTTCGTTAAGGTGTAGTGTCATCAAGGTTCAAATGCATCATTTGCATTTCGATTTTGATTAAGAACTTGGTTTGTTGGTCAGTTCTTGGGGTCAACATTTGTAAGTTCCCTTACGGTTAACACTTATCTTTTATTCTGTTATTTAAAGCTCTGTTACATTAAGAAAGACGCGCTCAGCTTGCACATGTATTTTTTTCCAATCTTATAATATGTTCTTGCATTTTCCTGTTTACCATTTGTAAGAGTTTTACTCTTTATCAGTATGTTAGTATGATCTTAATTGTCACAGAAATGTAACACTAAACAATTGGAAAAGGTGGGTGGGTGACTATTTTGGACAGTGGATTCTTTAGTGGCACAATATTTAACACACATGTAACACTATAAAATGTTGTATTTTATATAGGGGAGCATTGCCCGTATTCACATATTCTGTATATAATATATTTGGATTATAAAATGCCACACTATCAAGATAATAGCTTATACTTGCATTCATGGTACTATCCATAGATTCTCAGTTTTATGAGATTGTTCTGTCTTTAGGAGATGGAGGACCTTTTCTATTACTGCCAACTCCGTCATCAAGGCAATGACTCAACGAAGGAATGGCAGTTGTCAACCAAAATCCCCCTGTCAGAGGTTCCCTCTCTAATGAGAGCTTTGGCCTATTTCCCAACTGAGCAAGAGGTACAATGTGTGAAAATGAAGCAACATCAAAGGCGCATGTGATTCTATCTGACAGTATAGATTCATTACAAGAGAAATGATTTACAAATAACTCAAATGTGGTAACAAATTGCTCATTCTATTTCTTACCAGATAGAAAATATGCATAACGAGGTCAAGTTCAGCAAGTATGCAGAAACAGGAAAATATGTGACTGACATTGACCTGGAGGAGGTAATTAAGCTGTATGTCAACCACCGGCCAGCATTGGGCATCTCTAACCATGAGCTTGCTCAAGCTTTTCATATCCTTGGAGACCCTGATAAGAGAGGACAGCATGTTCTGCAGAGACAGGAACTGCTGGAACTCCTACAGGCTCAAGGTATGCTGCAGTCTTTCCAGTCAGAATACTGTCACATTGCTCTTCTTCCAGTTTCTACATGCAAATTTGTATTTATCATATATTATCTTTGACAGGAGAACACATGACAGAGGAAGAGATGGCAGAGTGTTTCACTACACTTTTAGGCCTCAATAAAGACAAAGAAAAAGGAGAAGAAAAGGCACTAGAAGCCAGAGGAAGACAACATTCTGGGCATGACAATAATACATCTAAGAGTATGTAAATGCAAAACCTCACTAACAAGCAGGCAAGAACTAAAAAAACAGCTGAAATACATCGTCACTTTTTGCTGTGTGTCCAGGTGGAGATTCTGAGTATTCTCTGGAGGGTGCGTTCCCAGATGAAATATCCATGGAGACATTTACGGCTCAAATAATGTGCTTCCCGTCCTCAGCAGAGAAGAGTGGCCAGTCTTCCCCTCCAGAGTGATGGAAGCAAGAAACGGTTTGCTCGTCTTAAAGAACTTGTGTTGATGACGAGCCTCAGAGTCTCTGCAACGCTTTTTTAAGATGTAGTTCAATGACATGCTCTAACAAAGATACTGGAATGTGTATGTTTTATAATTTGAAATGTGATAAATAAATATAAATTGGAAGTTAGATCGTCATGTCCAGCTTTGTCAAATATCAATTATAAAATATATATTATAAAATTAATTAATTGAGCTGTATTTTCCTTTTAAGAATATGTATTTAAGGTACATCTTGCTACTAATATTTCCGATGTTGCTTCAGTAACAAACTTCAATACTTCTCCAAAGCAATAGGTTGAGATGTTCTAACAAATCATCAGCTGTACAGCCATTGTAATAGTTACACCCAGCAGATAATTACTTTGTTATGATTGTTCCATACTTTTGAAACACACCCTCTCACTCCCACACATAAAATATGCATGTAAAACATGTATGAACTATTATGGCTATGAGTCCTTACAACAGCTGAATGTTGACATATAGGTGATTATAACTTTTGAATGTTAAAGCCTTATCAGTCCACTTCTATGTACTGTAAGTGTATTTATTAGGTTACACATACATCGTTATGAATATAATGATGACAATATAATTCACTGACTTCATAAGATGTGGTCTTTATAGATAGTGTTGCCGTGGAGTCACTGATACTCCATTGATCCATTGCTGTTTTCATTCAGGAGAAAGAAAGGTATATATAAACATGGTAGCAAATACCACAGTAATCATTACTGTAGTTATTTTCAATGGTATACAGTTGAGAGGCAGATATTGTATTTTTTACTCATTAACATTTATTCAACACAGCATATCATGTGTTTTCACATATAAAAACACATAATATGCTTATTTTTTTATATGATGTAGTAGCCAATCAACACAGTATTTTACGAATTAACATAAATTGGGTTTACAGTTTGAAAAACTATGACATGAAAATGCCCATAATAAAATGATAGAAACAGCATTATATAATATTCAATAAAAACTGATGCAAATGTGAAGTGCCTTTCTGCTTTTTGAAAACTTTAAAGGTTCCCTATTATACTGTTTTTCATCAATATATTATAGGTCTCAGATATATACAAAACATGTCTCTGAAGTGTTTGGCTCGAAATACCAAAAAGATCATTGCAGCATCCCATAATCCCCTCTGTTTCAGCCCTGTTTCAAAAGTGCTGTTACTTTAGATGAAAATAAGGAGCCACTCCCCACGCCCCTATGAGAGATGATTGGCTAACAAGAACACAATGGAGCTCTCGGAGGAGATTCAGGTGATAAGGTAGGCGGGGTTACCTTGGTTGGTGATTGGCTAATGGTTACACAAGCCAAAAAATCGTTACGACATCATAAAGTTGCCAAAATCTGATCAGCTCCTTATTTCAGTCAGGTTTTTATATAAATGGATCAGGACAAAAAGTGAGCGAATCCTTTTTCCTGAAACTTTCAGAATCTCTTCATGTTTAAGACATGAAATAGTGGATTTTGCATAATATGTAGGCTAGCAGTTTACATTTAGCTGATGTTAATATTTCCTTACTTCTACTTAAAGGTAGGGTAGGTAAGAATGGAGAAACCAGCTCGAGTGCGCCAGAATTTGAAACTACGCAGTCTAAAAAAATCTGCCTCTTCCTTCAGACTTCCTTACAGAGCCCCTCCACCAACACACACAAACGCGCACATATGACCAATGAGGGCAAGAGATAAGTTTGTGCACGAGATGGAAGGCTGACAGGCAGGTAGGCCATCCCGGCTAAAATAATTGGTTGTGCTTTTTACAGCGCAACGGCTTCCACAGATGACATTTTTAATGTATTTATTGTCAAAGTATTTAAGGTATTCATTGTTATCAGGATGTTAAGAGCATTCCATGGAATATAACAAAAAGTGTTTCTGAAGTGAATTACCCACCTTGTTAATTTATGATTTTTTTTTCACTTATAATGTAGTATTTTTAAATGTTCAAGTAAATGAACTGAGTCTAGATTATTGTGACACACTGCCAGTTGTCTTCATTCAGTGCTGTGCAACCTGTCGCCGGAGGTTTATTTTTGAGTTGTGCGCATAGACTGTATATATAAAGGTTGTGCGGCGGGTGGGGCTTTGACTCAGACCAATCAGAATCCTTTCAGCACAGGAACTTCCTGCTCCGACAGAGAGGAGCTGAAGGCTGTTTTTTGCCAGCTGGTCGCTGCGACTCGCAGCTACGTCAACTATTTAAGACAACAACAAGTTAACTTAGGCATTTCATTACAATCGTCGCAACGGATCAACAGGACTCCGCAGCATGACGTTGAAAAACTCTAACGGGGAGTCAGGCTGAAACTGCCAAGCCTCATGAAAAAGAGAGTTTTATTGTCCTAGCTTGCTGGCTAACGTTAGCTATTTGTGTGGTGAGTTACAGACGGAGAGGGATGTCTTTACGGTACAAATACCGGCGCCCTCCGCCGATCATAAAGCAGGGTCAAGATGAAGACTCGGATGCGGAGGAGCCTCCACCGGGTCTGCTGATCAGGGCGGACGGACTGGAGAACCAGGTCATCCACAGCGGACACTTCATGGTGTCTTCGCCGCACATCGAGCACCCTCCGAAGAAGGGCTACGACTTCGACACTGTCAACAAACAGACCTGTCAAACTTATCATTTTGGGAAGGCGAGCATGTCCCACCTCTCCATAGATGCTTCACTGACCAAACTCTTTGAATGCATGACTCTAGCGTACAGGTATGTTATTGTAATAATAACACATCTCAACCCCCCCGTATAACCATTCATGTTACCTCTTCAACCCTGTTCACATCAGAACATTAAGGAAAGGGATCGGACAATAATTGCTGTCCCGAGGCCAGCAATGTCACTCCTCTTAGTGTCACTTCCTGCTTGACCACTCATGATTCTGGTCAAGGGAAACATCTTTAAATACAATGTATATGAGTACCAATACCACAGAGTAGGTATACCACTAGTAAGCATACTCAAGCACAAGTGCTGCACTCAATTCTACCTAAGTATAGGATGTAATACAGATGTATAACCGCTAATAAATCTGCGGTTGTACATCATTTCATATCATCCGATAAAATGCATTCAATTTTCTTTCTTCGGGCCCCAAGCAGTTATTTAAAAATAACCATTTTAAGAGGAAATGCTAACAATACATATACATCTGAAATGGGTCCCGAGCCAAACAAGTTGTAAAACCCTTTTTAAATGATCTTATCAAATGTTTTTGTTTTAAAAACATATTATTTTTATTTTGCATTAAGTAGCCTAAAATGGGAACACTCAAGTAAAGATAGATAGATAGATAGATACTTTATCAATCCCAAATTATTTAGTTACAGGGTCAGTGTGTTCAACATTAAAATACAAATACTTAAGAAGCTGAATAGAGTTGACAATTAAAAATTAAAATTAAATTAAAAATAGCATATCAAATATAAACAATATAACAAATTCTCTATAAAATGTTCTTTTTAAAAGGTCAAAAATACTGCAGTAGCAGGTATATAGGTTTATAGTACTATACTGTATATACATATGATAGTATATCATTTAGAGATATACAGACAATTGCAAATCACTTCGTGTTTATACTTCAGTATAGTACTAGTAGTAAATGTCATGTGGTACTCTTTTATTGGGACATGAGGACTGGTGACACGGCCTGATAAACTCAGATCACACTCTCGTTGCTCTTAAAAAGAGAGATCATTGTTCTAACTTGGGTTGGAACGATTTAAACAAGCAACCAGGAACTAACTTTCATGTTCGGTGGTGTTGTGCCAAAACTAGATGCAATGAGAGCTTTGGCACCAAAAGACAAGGGCTTCTCTCATGGCAGAGAGAGATACTGCTTTGTCTAGATAGTGTTGAAACACTGGCAGCAGGCACTGTTCAGGACTTGTTCAGTCAGGCTTTTTCACATTTAAGATGATTGTTTGTAAATGGGCTTAATGTGAGGTACCTATCCATAGTCTTTGTACCTTAACCCTCGTACCCATGATTCTGTGTTTACTGTAGTGTAGTTAATCTAGTTACTCTACTGGGCTACAGAACCAGCTGCTCAGGGGATTCCCTATGACTTTGCAAATGGCACCAACTTGGATTCAACTATTTATAGACTAGGAGAGCATTACTACCAGTTACTGTTCTGCTGTTGTTTTGAACTCAAGTGATGACTATGTACGTACATGAAGAGTCTTTAATAACAACAAGAACATCAGGGGATCTGTAAAATACAGCTTTTTCTCTGTTCAAATTGTACTACCCGCTTACTTATTGGAAAAGCTTTTTAAACAGTATTCATAAAAAAATGAAGCACATAAATGACAACAGGGAAAGGCTGGACAGGAAGAGGAAGGAAGGAAAGAGGGGAACTCTGAGCTCACCCTTTTGGATCGTGGTAAACATTTCCCTATCTAAGCAGATTTTAAATGAGAAAACCTAAACTAAAGTCATGTTATTTGACAAACATTTTAAAATGTCGGTGCATATAACTGTTATGATCCATTCATAATAATACACTCAGCATTCTTTAGGCAACATACTTTTAATCCAACACGTTGCAACTCATTTTTTTATTATAGTCTGTTTGACTTAAAAACACTTTTTTTTTATCAGACCGCCCACAGCTTTGGTTACGTAATGCCACTGTGCTGTAATAAAAAGTTTCACATACTGTAACCATAATAGTGATGAATCCCTCCGATGAGGCCTTGATTTCATTTGATAGTGCACGTGTGTTAGCTCTCTGTTCAGTTGACTCTAAACTTCAGTTGTTTCCATATCAAACTTGTAGTTATCAATCTTACTTGAGCGTGGCCTTGGCAGATGCTTGTTTGTTTTGCTTGCTTTATCTCTGGAGGTCTTTTCGTTGCACTGCCAGTGCAAGCAACCTTTTTTGTTTTAAGTCATGTGTACACCATAGACTGAATACATTGAGATCCTCAGGGTAGAGTTTAACGTTGTTCTGTTCCTGAAGCAAGAACAGAATGTACAATGTGTCATTTTTATTAGAGGCATTCTTCCAGGGCTTAGTGTACTGGTATGAGAAGCCACCTTCAGATAAGTCCGTCATCAGACATGGAACTCCTGTTACTAAGCCGTGCTATCTTACCTTTTACTGAGTGATGGATGCTGGAGCAGTGTTACAGCGAGCTAGCCTCATTCTCTTTCTTATTAATGGTTAAAGTAATTGACAAGGTTCAAAGTGACTTTTTAAAAGCCTCTGGGAGAGACAAAACATTTTTTCCTGCTGCTTCATGTTGTAATCCCGTCATCCCTAACAAAATAGAGCATATAAGATTACTGATAAAACAAACTTTTTTAATATTCTCAGATAAGGTGTTTTTGTAGGGTGCTAGAATAAGTCTTTTAATCTGTTGAAAAGGTTTTTTATCCTCCACAAGCAAGAATAGAATAAGGATTATTCTGCTGAGGATTAAGATCTTTGAACGTTTTAATTATTATTGAGCTATTAATGAACTTGTGCAAGTAAGCCAACAATTGTGTATCATAAAATAACTTGTGTCATGTCCTTGTCTTTTCAGTGGGAAGTTGGTATCTCCCAAATGGAAAAACTTCAAAGGTCTAAAACTGCTTTGGAGAGACAAGATCCGTCTCAACAACGCCATATGGAGAGCCTGGTATATGCACTGTAAGAGTTCAACTTTCATTTGTCTTCCATAGAGCGTGTACTAGGGCTGCTCAATTAATCGTATTTTAATCGCAATTACGATTTTGGCTTGCAACGATTATGAAAACAACATAATCGAAATAAAAACGATTATTTGATTTTTTATTGATCTTTTTATTGGTTTTTCAGTTGAATTATACTTAAAGTTCCGGGTAATGTAACTGTTAAAAACATACTGTTCACATTTTTTTTTCAATAAATTCATGTTTTCAAAGTAAATGAATAATCGTGATATCAATTATTGACCCAAATCATCGAGATTATGATTTTTGCCATAATCGAGCAGCCCTAGCGTCTACACTGCATTGTTAGTATTTAGTTTAAAGTGGACCTATCATGCTATATTTGAATAATATAGTGTAGGACCATACCTATATAAGGCATATTTATACTTTTTATTTTTCAAAATACCAAACAGATCATGCATTTTAGCCATTCCTCATTTCGCTCAATTTAACACTGTCTTTGCATGGGCTGATTCTGTGAGAACAGCACCATCTACAGGCCTGGCATATGTACTACAGCATCTATTTCGAACGGCAATGTCCGTGGCTGTCTCCTCCTGATTGGTGGAGTTGGCCCAATAGCCGTAGCGCCACTTCTGACGTCATAGAAGTGTTCAAATCTGGATCAGTCTGTATCAGATCCGTTGCAGCCCCTTTTTAAGAGATTTGGGTATGGAGGAAAATAGAGAGGGTTGTGTTTTCTGACACTTGGTGAGTTCCCTGGAACACCGGGGACACATATTCATGTATAAAAGACGTACAAAAGTGCATTTTGCATGATAGGTCACCTATATATGACATGAATTTTAACATCTCTTTCATCAAGCTGGGGCGAGAAGACGTCAGGATCAACGCTTTACTTTTCTTCTTGGTTAATACGTTTGGTTTATAACAAACTAACAGAACTCGCAACATTATCTGTAAAATGATTAACTGGGTTTTGTTTTTCATGATTTTAAGATCATATGTGAACCCTGTTCGCAACTTGCTGCAATATTATTGTTCGTTTACATGCCACGAGTGGATTGGTTACAGTGACTGTTAGTTATTTTACACAGACACTTTTGTGTTAAGTACCTAAGTGTCAAAACATCTGAAATAAGGCAATCGTAAAACACAATAAAACCCTCTGCATAAATGAATGGCAACATTGTTTGAGTCTGTTAAGTTTTACATGATAATTCTTGTATTTATTTGTAAATTAAGCTCTTCATGTCACTGCTCCGCCATGACAGCAAATTGGCAATTGGCATATAATCCTATTGTCTCATCCCTAATTGTTAATGTAATTCAACAGTATGAATAACAACCACTGTGCATTTCACCTGGGGTGACATGGAAGTTGTTTTTCTGCCCCCAGATGTGGAGAGAAGGGAGAATCCTGTGTGTCACTTTGCAACTCCCCTGGATGGAAACATGGACTTGGACGTCCATCGTCCTGCAGAGGACGATGTACGCAACGGCAATTCAAACTTTGTTGTGTTGTTTCTTGTCACTGAATTCCTCCATTCATTTGTTTATGTTCTCTCTTAAACACTTGTATTTATGTTTCACTTGTAACTTCAATTATTCCCCATCTCCCTCTTTTTTTGAAGGGCATTGCCACAGAGGGGAAATGCTTGAAAAGAAGAATTGAAATTGTCATCAGAGAATACCACAAGTGGAGAACATACTTTAAAAAAAGGGTATTCTATTTTTCAATTGTGTATATAAAGGCTCTGTAATGGTTCAGAGAGATACTGGGTATTCTGTACGTAATCCTATATGTTTCACTGCTCATTAACATTAATATCTATCTCTTTTATAGTTACAAAAGCACAAGGATGATGACCTCTCAAGCTTACTTAAGGTATGTAAAACTGCATCATGTTCAACCCACCAAAGTGCTTTTAGCTCCAACATGAATTAACCCATGCTAACCCAGTCACCCTCACATTATGACATACCTTTCAATGGATAAACCTAGCGATATAAACAAATTCCTATTGACTAGTTTCACTTAATTGATCTTGCTGTCAGAGTAAAATATTTTGTATATATATGCATTTATAAATGTGTTTCTAGTGCATGACGTGTGGATACAAAGTGTTGTTTATAGTTTAGTGTATCCCATGCTTGCTGTACTGAACACTGCATGCTTGTGTGTCATTAACTGGCTTGCTGGTTGCATTTTGAACACCCAAAGGGACCCGAGGAGCAGTTTTCGCTGTTTGGGGAAGTCTCTCCAGACATGCTCCGTGTCTCATTTTATCAGGATGAAGAGACTGCTGTACGCCGTGTGCCTCGTAGGCATAATGAAATGCCGGCCCCCATGGAGATGGACCCCCTCTTTGACATGGATGTTCTGATGTCTGAGTTTTCAGACACGTTGTTCTCAACCTTGGCCTCGCACCAGCACATAGCATGGCCTAATCCAAGGGAGATTGGTGAGAAAAGCATTGTATTTTATGTGGTAAAGACATCATAAATAGATTTTTATTGTCTCCTACTTTCTCAGTAATTTAAAGGAATATTAACCCCCTGTGTTACCCAGAACTGTTGAAAAAAACATTAAAGACTTGAAGAATTTCTGAACTTGATTACTTATAGTGGCCGGGTTTAATAACAGCAAAACTTAGTAAATACAAATCTCAAAACTGGTATTGTTATTAAGAAATAAATATTTTGAGACTATGTCCAAACTGTTTCCAAGTTTAATTAATCCACTCATATGCTCACTGCTTCCCAAACACATGTATTTAGCTAAAACCTTCCTATTTAAAACTCATGCACAGGCATGCTTCTTGTCTGTGCGAGTCTAAAGTGTTTTAGAAATGTGATGTATGAGAGTTTAAACATGTATGTTTTGATATAGTATTGATGCGGTTAAAACGGCCCTAATATTATTTTCATGTATCAAGTCTTTACTCCGATTTCTGATTCAAGGTAACACAGGGTAAGTAAGAGATGTACAAATGATCATTTTGGAGGGATACTATTGCTTTACTTATTGGTAATTTACTTTGTATTCCCCCTCCTCTCCTTATCTCTGCCTCTTTACCTTCTACAGCCCATGCTGGGAACGCAGACATGATCCAACCTGGACTCATCCCTTTACAACCTAACCTAGACTTCATGGACTCCTTTGATCCACTGCAAGGTAGGAGTAAGGCACCACCTGTAGCTGCAGTAGTGGTGCACACACACTTTACAGGAATCAACGCACATGTTCTAGTAACTCTGGAAAAGCAGTTTGCTTAGCCTAACGCACAAAGTAGTGTGGTTTTACTAACCTCTAGCTAACATAGAGACTCTTGTTCCAGACTTATTTCACAGCCTCCGTCCGCCCGTCTTCCCCTCTGTTTTACCCACTGCACCATCTGTCACCCCTCTACCCAGCAGCAGCTCTCGGTCCCAGGTAAACACACTTAAAGCCACATCCCCTAACACACACCACCAGCAGGAGATTTGTCCAACGACTGTTATTTTTCCTCAATTTGTTTGTGTTTTTGGTCAATTGATGAGGATATTTGTGACTTGCTCTATCGAATTCGGTCGCATTGACCCGAAGACACATTTTGAGTTATGTACACTGTTGGAAAGAGGAGATTCCTAGCTTTCTAATGATATCAGGATTGTTTTTGTTCTTTTTTATTAAGCAAAATATGTCACATTATATAATGACTTTCACCGAGTCATCATTTTGAGAAAAAGGCCTTCAAAGTTTCCTCTTCTCTGGAATCCATCGATCTGATTGATTATTAGCGGCTAATAAATGATCAAAGTAATGCGGACGGAAAATATTTTCGTATGGATTACAAGCTTCAAAAATGTCTTTATCGTGTGATTTTGGAAATAAAAGTTTCATATTCTGAAAGCCAAGACTTTGTTTAGTTAATATAATCAAACAAAACACCCACACCCCGAAAAACTATTATTTTTATGCAAATCCACGTTTATTTTGAAATGAGCCGTTGCGACTTCCGACTGATTTCGATAGAGCGGGTCACATTTGTCACATCTTCTAACATGTTTCTGTCTTAATGTAGTTACACAACACAACTATGTAACATAATATTACTAAAATGTATTCACATAGCACTTTTCATACATTACTTATTCCTCTGCTTAACATTCAACTTATTTTCCTTTCTAGAATCCAAAACATTTAAAATTAATTTTGCTTTTATTTCATGCCATCATCCTTTCTGATGTTCTCCCTGTAGTACCGGCATGATCCGCTCGGGCTGATTACGGGCCCCCAATAGAATCAGATTAAATGGAGCTGAGTTGAGCGTGTGCATGTCTGAGATCGTTTAGATTGTTGCAGATGAAAGCGTGTTTTTCTTGGGATAACCAGTGGTCGAGGACCTGGATGGTTTGATCGAAGATGCCCAGTCTCGCCGCTGTGGACGCTACACCGATGTGGACGCTGCACCGATTTGGAAGGAATGGCTAGACTAATGTTCTTAGAATATCCCAGAAATACGCAGGATGTTTGCAGAGGCTGAGAAGGTCAGAAGTGAGTGGCAGTCGTTTGGCGGTGAGGGAGGGTTCCTGCTTACGCAAGCCTTTGATCAGAAATGGGACGTGGAAGGACATTGTTGGCCACTGGCTATTTTTATAAAGAAGTTGATTCCTGCCAAGTAGGTCTGAGTGGTGGTGGTCTGGCATTTCCGGATGGAATGACAGGGTAATGAAATTACAGATGGATATGACGTCCAAAGTGTGGAATGGTAGCTGGTATGTGCCGTGATATGCCTTAAAGCAATTCCAACCTGTAAGATACGCTGACATGGTGCTTGGGGCAAGGCTGTTGAGGATGGCTTCCCGTGAAGAGTGAGAGAGCATTTCCAGTTGTGGACTTAATTGAATGTTTTTGCTGAAAATGGTGGGACTGGTATGGGATGAAGATCCCATTCTGGGGCCAAGTTTCAGAATTTCTGAAACAAGACACAGACTCAGAGATGCTATTCTGATGACCTGGAATGTGTGTTGAGCTGAGATTAAAGTGAGTTTGGGCTGGAACTGCATGATGACCAGGGAACGAGATCGGCCTTTGTTAAGGATCTCTAAGACTGCACTGTTATCGGTGTAGACGAGTATGGCTTCCTTGACCATTCGTGCCCCCAAATAATGGAAGCTATGATGATTGGGTACAGTTTGTGAAGTGTAGATGAAGGAGAGAGCACCTGTGAATTGAGAGCTATGAACTCCAGGCGGAAGAGAACCATCTCCCTGCATAGTAGCCGCCGAAGCCTACAGAAGGAGCTGCGTCCGTGAAGAGTTGAATATCCTCGGGTTTGGTGATGAAATCGTCATAAAAGAAGGAGATGCCATTCCATGAAGACAAGAAATGTTGCCAGAGATGCATTTGGCAAGCATCGTCTAGAACCAATTGATCGTGGATGGAGGGGACAGATGCAACTTTGTTCAGCAGGTTTGACAAGAAAGGTTTTGCTTGTGGTGTTATGCGAATGGTTGTAATTTAGGTGGCCGAGGAGGGCTAACAGTTGACGTTTCGTGCATTTGTCTGCCTGCATGTAATTTAACAGGAGAAGAGTGATGCTTTGTATTTTCTCTGAGGGTAGAGAAGGTTGGAATGACATTGAGTCCAGGGTGATCGTCGAGAAGATGGAGGAGGTAGGGGAGTCTGTGAAACATGGGAAAGGGAGGATTATCAAATGGGCCTATCATGAATCCTTCTTCGATTTCTGTAGCCAGTAAGATATCGACAGTGTGAGGTTCTTTTAAAGCGGACTGAAGGTTGTGGCAGATATGAGATGTGTTAGGGAGTGGAAGTGACGGCTGGTGTGTGGGATACTGACGGCCGAGGACAAGCGGCTCCTTTCGGATGCTTGGCTGTGATCCGACTGCTGTGCCGTAGATGGCGGATAACCGGTTTCTAAAAGATCGTTGCATGGATCTTCGTATGACTCCGGCCGGTTGATCAGCAATTCGGGATCCATGGTGAGTTTAAAGCTTTAGTAGTAGCGTCTAAAGATGTTTTGAACCGTGATGACGCATGGCGTGAATCGCGGTCTGCCTGTCAAGCGGTTGCCGGATGCTGGCCGGATATAAAAAGAGTTAGCCGTGATTAGCGATGGGGTTGAGGCGTGGCCATGCTCCTGAACCTAGATTAACAAATGAACTTCATTAAACAAAGAATTCTTAAACTCACTTAAAGACAGTGGAGGGGAAATAGTGGCCTCTTTTATTTAGTGGTAAAGGCATTTTGCATCTGCCTGAACTGTCTATAGAATGTAATAGAAAGTGAACACTGACACAAATGCTTTAGTTTGACAGAAATGTTTCCACAATTATCTTCTGTTTACCCTTCCCTCTTTATTGGTTGATTCTGTATTGTGGATGGGAAGTCCCTTTACCCTTTGACACTTTGAAATGCTCCGATGGAAGCGGTATAGAGTCGCTTCATTTGCGATGTAGACACGGGGTCAGAGTGTGTAAAAACCCTTTTGTTGTCATAATCTTAACTAGCACAAAAATGAAATGTACATATTTTATGAACTTACACAGAATTGTATCTCTTTTCTTATTGCATTTTGTTTGTTTCTTTTCCCTTTGTCATTCCTTATCAGACCCAGTTAATGTCCTGCATGCTCACGAGCAACCACATATCCCCTCCTGGCCCTCTGCCCATCCCCTCTCCCATGGCCAGTCAAAGCAGTCCAACAGGAGGTGCTGGGGGTGGTGATCCTGATTCTGCCTATGCAAGAAACTACATGCCTCTATTTCCTGGGCAGGTGGCGCCCTGTGATCCAAGAGTGGTTTCCTCAGTCTCTCAGCCATTAAGCGAGGATCCGTTTTTGCAGTGCCTTTCTGGTCAGGACTTGACCTCAGCACCAGCTTCGATGGTTCCCTCACCGCTGGACAATACCTCAGCGCTGGATGAGACGCACACCGCCCCCTCTACAGTCCCACTCAGCGATGCAGCCTCCACCTTCAGCCAGGCCTCAGAGTATAACTCCATATCTGCACCGCCTCCCCCTTCCCAACTGCAGTCCTTGGCTCCATTACCGGCCCTTCCTGTCAGGCACCCTCAGACTTTTGTCCTGCCTCGCCCCTTTCAGTCGTCCAGTTCCAACAAAAATCGCCCTGTGCAAAGGATTGCTCCTGCTAACACCCTCCCCACCTCCCACCTCATCCTCACAGGTCTGTTGTTTCTCAACTCAAAATCAAGACATTGCTTCTGCATTTCGAGAAAATGTGCATTTTACCTTGTTGATTTGTCAGTGGAGCTGTGTCATTTTAACTTAAATTACACAAAATGTCGCTCAAGCCTTTCTTATTCAGTATTTTGATTCACAATGTTGTAGTCACTGTAGTTTAGGCCACAATGATGCCTTTTGTAAGCACTGAAGTGTACGCAAGTACATTTCCTATGAATTTATTACCGTTAAAAAAAAACGAGGAAAATAATTTCTGTAGCAAATAAATACCATGTTATTTCTTTAATATTGTTTTTTCATTAAAATCTGAAACACATTTAAAAAACATTATTCAAGATACTAGAACCATACGAATGTTGAAATACTTAATAGAGCTAATATAATAAATAACTTGTACAACAATTGGTTGCATTACATAGTCAACGTACAATGAAACTTGTACAGACTAATGTTAATCACCACATAGTTTATTTTCTGCAAAATCCCCTGAGGAAGAAAGGAAGTGGCAGCATGTCAAAAATGATAACTCCTGAATAGATGTTCACGTATGAATGCACATAAAAGTCATCCAGCAGCGCCTCACTGTCAATGTTCATCCTCTCAGCCCCTTTCCCAGGTCATGCCAACGCTGTTATTGTTACACCAACACCTCTGAAAGCAGACGTCCATAATACTGGAGTAGTCATCACTCCTTCTCAACTTGGAGGGGTATGTTTTCAGCTCTTATTCCTCTGTGGGCCTTTATTTTTTTTATTAACCTTTTATATATACAGGAGATTTTACTTAAACTTGATGTCTCATCCTCAAAAGAGATTTGAGTTGCAAATGGAACATTTTAAAAACGGCAACGTTTACATTTTATAGTTATTTTCCTGTCGTTGGTAATGCATGAATGTAAAATACAAACCTTACTAAGGATCAGAGTGAAGTCATATTTTTTTACTTCTCTGTCCTCTTTTTTTTTTATCCTGCCAATTTGTTCTCTTTTCCTGCATCTCAGGCTCCTGGATTTCACGTTGTGTCTCACAAGTCGCCACAACTGATAGTCCCCAAAGAAAAGTCTTCTAACCGCAAAAATCAAAAAGCCTCCTCCAGTGCCGGTGAGAATAAAGCTCCAAAAAAGAAAATCTTAAGTGTTGACCCACAACTCGTTACAAGTTGGTTTGTTTTTGTTCTCTCCAGGTCACAGTCAGCCAGGATCAGGTCAGGGATCCCCGTGTGGGTTAGATCAAGCTCCTAGTCCCCAGTCGCTGGTCAGCAGCAGCACTGTAACGTTGGTGAAGATTGAACAAAACCAGGTTTGTGTTTATGCGTCATTGTTTCTTAACATTAACCCGTTTATTTGCATTCATGCTAAATATATGGTGTGTGTGGATATGAATATTGAATGACATTTTGGCCTCTCGCAGACTTGGGACACTTAATGAAAACATATTTGCAATGTATAAAAAAATGACAATTTGTGTTAAAGCATGAAAAGGGCAATCCCAATGCTGAAAATGAATTAAGAAAGGCTGGATTAAATCCCTTGACAATTGTATAACCCTGTTTATACATAAGTAGCATTTTGACTTTTTCCTCTGTAACCCATGATACAATCTCAGTAAGCCTGCCTAATATTTTCACTGCTGTTGTGTGACAGAGCCGAAGGACAACACACATATCTGCTGAGCAAAAGAGACGATCAAATATAAATATTGGCTATAAAACACTCTGCAACCTGATCCCTACTTTAAAGTCCCAATCCAATGTAAGTGTTTACACCTGTGTCTTATTAAAACCTCTGCAACAGATGCAGGTCTAGAGCTGCAATGAGTAGTTGATTTATCTGTTAATCGTTTGAAATACACATTTTTATCTAAGGATTATTCATTACAATCATTTGTCATAAAGAATATATGTTGTGTTTATAATATCAAACTGAATATCTTTTCTTTTTATATATCAAAACTATTAATCAAGAATATGTCGGTTAGTGGATAATGAAACTCATCGTTAGTTATTTTTCAGGATACCATTATTGTTGTTCATGTTGCTATATATAGTTTATACACATTTACTTTGCAATCTGCCTTATGATATTCATTATCACTGCGTTGTGTTTAGATCAGTAATGCCATCACGTTGCAAAAGACTGTGGATCACATTGGGAAGCTCCAGCAGGAGAGGCAGCAGATGCAGGAGGAGGTCAAAAGACTACGAGAGGAGATAGAGGAGCTCAACGCCTCCATTAAGTATTTCAAATCATTCTATATGCTTCACTTCTCGTCTGATATACAAAAGTTGAACAGATACCTAACTGATTACCACTCAAATGTTTCCGCTCAACCACAGCTCGTGTCAGGAGCAGCTGCCTGCGACAGGGGTGCCCGTCAGGAGGAACCGCTTCGAACACATGCAGGAGAGGTTCAAAGAATATGTGAAGAACCGCACTCTGCAGAACTGGAAGTTCTGGATTGTATCCTTACATAACGCGGCTGATGCATATTGCTGCTTATTAATAACAGAGGACAATTTACATTTAACATTTTTAAAATCTTCCAATGGCTGTTGAGGACAAGCAATCTACTTTAAGTCCAGGTTATATACAGACCTCTTCAACTTCATTTAGTAGCCTTAATATGGCTCAGTGAGATGCAAGAAGAACAATTCTGGTGAACAATTTTCTAAGTCTGATCTAAATAGTTTACTGTCCTGTGTTTATGACTGAAGAACAGGTGTGCGAAGATGATCTTTATTAGCTGTTTTTGTTTCATCTATAAAGAAGGTTGAACAAAGATTGGACCAAGACATCTTTCAGTCATCAAAACAAACTATTTTGCCAAATGTTTTTTATTATTTTACTCATTCAGGCCACAAGAGGCTGAAGTGCACCACTACACCATGTTCAAGAAACCTAAGATCATTCATATTTTCTACCACGTGAGTTTTTATTTTCAATGAACAGTGATGTTGCAAGTTCACCTTACTAACCCACAATATATGGGTGAATAGAGACATTTAAAATGGAGAAAACATGAATGATTTTACATTGGCTTTTGTTGCCTTTTTTTCTTTAGTCATGAGCACAGGGGCAACCATTAATTAAGATTAAACCTAGAAAATGGATCACAAGATCTGTTTAGCCACTTGTCTCTCTGGGCTTCCATACCTAGGTAAGGTGTATATAACCAAAAATGTACATTAAGTTGTACAAGACACTGTATTTAGGAAGGGAAATTGCTTTGTTTTTTAACAAATGCAGAAGCCATGTATTTGCTATCAGGTGCAGTAATTATCTCTGATATGTTAATGTTACAGTCTTGCGCTCTTACAGTTGGTCAGGCAGAATAGTTTTTGTCTCACTCTGTAGTGTAATCGATCCTTGACCATCATCCATTTATAGTTTAGCATCATTATCAAGCCTCTGTTTGATTCATTCAATGAGATGGTGTCAACCACAAGCAGAGCAGAGCTGTGTCAGACCACGTTGCAGTGGGTCGATCGTCACTGCTCCCTCCCAGTGCTCAGACCCAGTAAGTAAAGGACTATCAGGTGGAAATCCAGAAGAACAGATATTTTATACATCACAAGCCTTCTTACTCTATCGCAGTTTTTCCTCATGTACTCCCATTAATATCCAGGTTATCATGTTATCACAAAGCAGGAGATGTCTGTCAGACCCATACTCACTTACTGGAAACACTACGTTCAGTTTAAGAAAGTGGTTGCGCTTTGGTAGAGCCTGCAGGAGGCACGGAATACACAACGGTCACATAACTGTTCTTGAATTGGTCATTAACAACACCATCTCTTGCTGTTCCTTGAATTTGTCTTTAGTTCGGCAGTTACAGAAAAACATTTCCTAATCTCTCTCCAGTTTATGTAAATGACCACTTTTATTCACCCTTAGATATTTGTTTGCATCCGGTTGTGTTCTAGCCGACAAAGAAAATCAAAAAGCCCACTTCCTTACCGCGAAATCTCCGGACAATGAGCGGAGATCTGTTCACACATGTGCTCAATTGGACATTACACAGAAAATGACTTACTGTTTGATAACTTAGTCTGAATCATTCATACATTTGCAAAGGGGCATATGGTTGCAAAAAAACAGATCAATAGTCAGAGCATTTGCAGTTCAGTTTTGTTCTAACTGCAAAGTGTTAGATCATTACAGTGTGTAATGGTTAAAAACCTGCTAACTGTCAAGGTCTCATTTTTTTCATGTAGTCATCAATCAGTCATGCCATGACAGAAAATGTAACTGTGAATCTAACTTTCCATTGATGTGTAAAATCACTTTCTAATTGTTTTTTTCCTCCCATTTCAAAAAATACTTTTGTATTGCTGACTCAGTGTTACTTTGACACTTGGATCTGATAATGGTGACGTCAAAGATTTCTATCAGTAAAGTCGCAGTTTTAGCCTTTCGCTGGAGGCTGGGCCTGCACTGCTGCAGGAAATAGTAAAGAACTAAAACTAAACTCAGATAAAGCAAACCTCCAAAAAGGCCAAATGCCCCAATAGTTTGTTCTACTATCGGGCTTAGAAACAAACAGAACAATCTAACAGAAAACAATTGGGAGAGATAATCCAAAAAGCTATCGTTCCACTGTTTTACTCCATTACAGGTTGGACTGCCCCCTCAAATGTAATCATTCAGATCTGCTTGGTTATGAGACAGGTTTTAAATTTCCCCTGAGTCACTGTCCTTGGCATGAAAAACAGGGCTCTTATGCATTCTGGAAAAAATGCAAATATTAAATTCAGCAGTCATAAAAGAAAGTCTTTTTAGATGACACATTTGCTCAGAGTATGCAAAATAACAGCCAACATTAACCTTTTTCCAAATAGACCAAGCATCACCTCCCACCAAGTAACCACAAATATGTCAGTCATAGTTAGTAAGTAATGAGCTTCCAAATCATTTTTTAATCAAGTACATCCATACAGATACAGTTGTATCTTGTAAAGAAAATGTTGTTTTACAGTCCAGTTTTGGTAACTAAAATGCAGTTTCTTGTTTTGTTTTTTTAGTGGTGCTGAGTACTCTTCGCAAGCTGAGCACAAACACGTCCATCCTAAGCGATCCGTCCCTCCTGCCTGAAGAAGCCATCCAGGCCGTTTCACACACAGACGTGTAGCCTCGCTCTCTGAGGTGAGGCGGCCAAAAAAAAACACCTGAAACTTTAAAGCAATCATCAAAATGACATATCACTAGTTCACCTTACAGCCGCTCAGCAAGGACACCACAGATCCTCCACCTCTCTGAAAAATAAACAAAATGAAAAAATGCGAGCTAGGTGTGTCCTACTTTCACTCTGTATGTACGACGGTCCTACACTTGTTGTGTTGTACGTTGATTCTTGGGAATAATGCACACAGGGGGCCTTATCTTTTACATTACTTTTATAACAATAGTGCAAAAAGGGCTTTATTATGTTGTATTTTAATGACAACTACGTCTACCTTCGCCTATATCAGGAGAAGATCTTTTAAAAACGTTATCGAAAGGTGGTACTTTTTGTTTATTTGTGAACAACAATATATATAAAAAATTACTTGCATGATGTGAAAGCACAACAATGTGTTGGAAAGAGAATTATTGAGTGATTGTTCATCTTATGTTCTCTAGCAGTTGTTTAAGTGTAGAGATAAGATGCTTTCATAACAAGGAGATGGTGGAGTAGCATTGTTTGTGGCAGCTCTGAAACCTCCTATATAGGTTTTATATCGGAGTGTAGAGGATTGCCTGAAACGTGGTCACGAAAATCACTTGTGCTTAAAGTATAACTGATATTTTTCAACAAGGTCATGGTTTTGTATCTAAGTGACTAATGGGGAAAACAATATTTTAATATTGGTCGTGCAGGGAGAGCGCTGCAATGTTATCCTTCCCGTAAATCAACCACTGTCAGTGTATTTCTTAGACCTTCCAGAAAAACGCGGGCAAAAATCCTTGATTATGCGGGCTAAAATCCTTGATTATGCGGGCTAAAATCCTTGATTATGCGGGATAAAATCCTTGATTATGCGGGCTAAAATCCTTGATTATGCGATTAAATATGCGGGGTTTTATGTGATTTTATGCGGTGAAATTGCGGGAAGTTGCGAAATATGCGGAAAGTTGCGAAATATGCTAAATATGCGGGGAAAAAGAATAACAATTTTTTTAAATATTGAGCTGTCTTATTTATTCTCTCTCACACACAACCTGCCACTAACGTTTAACCCTTTTACTATTCAATTAAACACATTCAATGTTTATTTATTGTAAAAGCAATTGGGCTATTTTAATCTCACACACACACACACACACACATACACTTCGCCGCCTCATTCTCACACACACACACACACACACACACACACACACACACACACTGACCAGCTTCAATCTTGTAGGCAACTCACTTCGTTTCTTGTAGCCCTCGAAAGGGTTTTGGAGGTTGATGCCTCGGTGAGCGTGAGTCGTTTGGCTTTCTTGTCCGCAGCAGCAGAAAGCATTTTCGAATGTTTGAATGAATCAAAGTGGGTCGTCACCGTCGATTTTCTCTTATGCTCCAACACACAGTTGCACGGGGTGCAGAATAGTTTCCCCCCACTTTTTGCCCGGTCTTTAGTTGAAATGTTCGTCGGTAAATGAGATGGATTAGATTTTTTTCATCTTGGTGTTTTCTCTATCGTGTGAGCTCCACACGTTCACTCTATACAGTGTTGTTTACATTCTGTGATGCGCGAGCTGATGACGTCACGTCAAGACGAGTTAACTTTTTTTTCCTCAATTTTGTGTGGAAAAATGCGGGGATTATGCGGCCTTTTGATAAATATGCGGGATTTTAAAAATCTGCGCCATTTTGCTGATTATGCGGTAAATTCTGCGATCGCAGAATCGCGTTTTTCTGGAGGGTCTAATTTCTACTTGAAGTGCTTTTTGGCCACTGACATGCTCATATTGTGAAATATTATTCTTTTAAGTGTCTGACAGCATTATGGAAAGGACCATTCAGTGAATAAAAACGTTTTTCTTTCACTTGATCTGGTCTGTTAGCCCGGAAATGTCTCCATCTGAAATCTTGTCACATCCACATTGTCAAAAACAGCAGCCATGATGTTAAAATCTGTAAGATAACACTAAGCTACACTTTCTTTACTCCAACAAAACAAACTCTGACAACACCAGCACACCAAGCGGCATCAAGTGAGTGTTAAAGACATTTTATTTCTCTGTCCTTACATAATGTTGTGAGACGTAATAATAATAATAACATTCTGAACCGGCCATTGCCAAAAGCAAGCATTTAAGTACATTTATTTATTATATCGCAACACCCGAAAACAGTACAATCTATAACAGTTAAACCTAAATAACAGATCTTAAAAATACACAATGGAAGTATGAGGCGAGACAAAGAGCAGATGAGATGGTCTTCAGCTCTATATGTAAAAACACAAATCTTGAATTGTGAGCTTGATGGAAGGCAGATAAAATGGATGTGTGTAGCCTTCCTCATGTCTGCTGTCTGCAGCGTTCTCCCTATGACCAATTTAAAAGAAATGTTAACCCATTAGTCACTAAGGCTAAACTAGAATAGTGTCCAAGTTGAAAAATACCAATGTTGTGCTTTAATAAGGACAAGGATAAGTGCTTTGTCTTCTTTTCTGTCCATCATTTACTCAGGTGAAATCCTTTTTGCAAGTGGTTTTCCACTCATGCTGAACATTTTTCTTCATACGCTGCTCGCTCTGCCCGTTTCCAGTGAATTCAACTGCAAAATGTACAAAAAAGCAGTCATCTTAAATACAGTATGAATGTTACATACCTGGGTCTCAACTGGGCAGGTCACAGCATCATGGAGCAATATTACTTACAGCCCTCATAGGGAACTTAACTGAAATAGCAGTAGAGCTTATATATACCATATTTCCCATGTACAGTGTTACAAGATCTTAGCTGAATGCAAGGTAGTCACTCAGGGCTTTGCTGGTCAGCGTAATTATTTTCCATTTAGCTGAAAAACTCTAGTCGGTGTCCTTCTCCGCAGGAAACATGTCGTAGGGATGTAAGCAGGGTTCGAGTTATGTGGGAGCCAATGGAAGCTGAGCTCCCATAAGGAGGGGGGTCTGAGGGTGTGTGTGTGTGTGTGCACACGCTGCGTTAGTTTTAAAGACCCCATAAAACTCAGATTATAACTCGAAACCCTGGTTGTAAGGTTACAAGTCACATTTGCCTATGTTGTTTTCTGCTCGTAGACACACTAATTTATACCGTGGAAAGACAGAAACAGACCCAAAAACAAATAAATAACATAGTTAACCGACATATAGTTCATTGTTTTTGTTACTGACGATGCTCTGTTGCCTACTTTGGAATAAGACAATGTGCAGTCGGCATGTCTGATTTTGGGATATTTCTTTCTTTTTCTGCAGAACAACCCTGTTTACTCTGAGTGTTACATTAGAAAATGGCAACAGTGGTCTTTCTTATTTCTTGAATGTGCAGCTTTTTGTGTGTTTTATTTTGGATTGCAGATTGCAGTCTTTTATTTGTTTTTGTTTTTGTACATGATTAAAATACTTGACCTGTTAATGTACAGGCTGCTCTATACAGTAAGATAGGGATAGCAGTAATCACTGATGTCAATTAAAACATTCACAGTGACGCAAATCAATAGGCCTATGTCAAATACCCCAGGGTAACACTGCAGCATTTGATTGGTTTGTTATTTTTTCCCTTCCCCTCTGATTGTAAAATATTTGTCATACCAGGCTGAGGGTTTTGTACATGATGATGTTAACAATCATTGCAGACTGCATCCGTTCACGTTGGCTCTTCACCAATTAAGTGTTATATTTTTATTGTTTTAAGACATAAAGAGATTTTCTATGTGTTGCATCTATGTTTTTTTTTTTTTTTTTCGTGTTCTTGCAAAGTTCCCGAATGTCTTCACCTAACAAGTTTTAAAGAAGCCTTGAATGATTCGGAATCACAATAAAAGCAACAATTTTGAAAATCTTGACTTGCTTTATTTTCAATGCAGTTCAATAAATATCATATTATAAATTCACCATTTAAAAAAAAATCCTTAAAATAGTTACATTTACACTACACAGTTAATATTACTTTGCTAATCTGCTCGTCCAGACGCTCCAGCAGACATTTAACATTCCGAGAGGCCTCCAATATCTCCATGGCGGGCAGGCTGCAGTTCCTTTGGGGTACGGGTTTACTCATCAGATCCTCCATGACCTTTGTTTGCTGGCTGATCATACCCAGGTCCCTCGACAGATCTGGGGCAATCGCGGATATGTTCTGCATGTAGCAGCGAAGAAGGGAGAGGCGGTGAGCGGTTAGGGGTTGTTCCAACTCCACCAGCCATGTGATGTTCATAGAGTGGCAGGGGGTCTTGGGAAGCACTGGAGCCTGCAGGAGACACACTTGGTCAGTATGTGGCCATATCAGCAAGTAATATCAATACACTGTTTAAAATGCCAATACCCGGGATAAGTTGGACTGACTAGTGATGCTTGAACTGCACCACTTTCAGTATAATGAGATCTTTTTGACCCTGCATTTGAAGTGTCAAAGCTGTGTGCGGATTTTGAAGCCAAAATACTGATTTTTGGCTATTAAAGTTATTTTTATGGATTTAAGTGGTTCAAAAAGTCAGTGGTTGGGCAATGTCTTCTTTTTTCTGTTGCTATGTTTTCTGCCAGGTAGCTAATTTCACCAAAGGATAAAGAAAGTTGTATCTTACTTATAATACTTGATCAATTATACGTTGATTATGTTTTGAATTCATTATTATTGTGTAAGATAAGATAAGATAGTACTTTATTGATCCCAATTTGGGAAAAACATTTTAAAATCCAAATCTCATAAATATCTCAAGTTATTAAATAAATGTAGCGCAGTAAAAAGTAAAATAGTTCCCCAATTAGAAATATATAAATGAGCAGAAATTGGCATTTTTAATGAATAAATAATAAAGTAGTCTAGATTTAATTGCACTTACGAGGTCGGTCAGAGTTTTCCGTATGTCAGTCTGCATACGCTGGATGGTTCTTTTCATAACCAAGTCTTTTGGTCTGCATGCTGCTTGTGCAATAATCAGGCACAGGAAGATGGTAACAGCTGCTGGGACATAAAAGATCACACAGTGGAGATAAAGAAGATTTTTTAAAAACCACACGCATATAAACAGAGAAAGGGAGATCTTCTGTCATAGGCTACTACGTTTCAAGTGTTTTAAAATTTTGCCTGCAGAAGTTGAAGATGTAGGACTGCCAGGTTT